AATACATCACATAATATTTTTAATTTCTAAGAACTGTTTTTTTTCTTTATCATCTTATCTTGAATGGTTTTCCTTTTTAATGAACATGCTTTCTGCTATCTGAGGATACTTTTCATTTTTTTCCTGATTCCTCTATGAACTCTTCAGGTCAGCTCTCCTCTCTGCTGGTTTTCTTCACACAGGTGGTACTTCCTGCTTTGCTCTGTTATGATCAGTGACCATCTCCCATGCTCGCAGTGTTTCCTAAGTGCCTGATGACTCGTAGCATTTACATTTGTAAATGCAAAGTCAAGATTAAGTGGCATCTGCAGGTGTGGTGTTTGTCTTCAACCCAAGTCAGAGTCCCTGGCCTCTGAGCAATAAGTGCATGTTGTGACAACAGAAGCCAGGATCCAAATAGCTACACAGCAGCCAGCAAGTGAGAGGTGACTTGAAGTCAAGAGGAGGTAAGCTGAGCATCTTCTGTTCCAGTGCCAGCTCTGTCCTACTAATTTTCTCACCCTTTATTAACTTTGGGGATTATGCCAACCTATCCAGCCCTTGCTATCTCTGATCCTGACAATATTCTATGATCTATTTTGACTATGTACTTTTTGGAGGTCTTTTTCAGCATTAGAGTTTCTCAGCTTAGTTTTGATATAAATGTTATCATCTGTTTGAGATCTTCCAGAAATTTCCCAAGTGTTCTGGTCTGTTGATAGAATGACCTTTCAATATTAACAGTAACAAAGACTTCAGGGCCGGCCCGGTGGCACACTGCTACAGTGCGGCGCTCCTGCCGAGGGTTCGGATCCTACATACAGACCGGTTCCCGCTCACTGGCTGAGCGAGGTGCGGGTGCAACACCGAGGGTTGCGATCCCGTTGCTGGTCCCGGTCCGGTCCGGGCACGACACTGAGGGTTGCGATCCGTTGCCGGACACGAAAAAAGACAAAAAAAAACAGTAACAAAGACTTCAAATTTTGATGATTTATTTTAATGCAAATTATGGTGAGGTACTATTTTCTACCTGCTTATAGAATAGACACAGCCTTTCTAGTTAACGACTTGCCAATATACACCCAGAGCCTTACCATTTGGAGTAACCATTATCCCAATGAATCCACATCTAGAAATTTAAATTTATCAAAAGAAAATAATGGAGGTGCACAAAGTTATAGCTAATAGGGGAAATTGAAAATAAATTTTAAAAAGTTCAATAATAGGTCACATTGATTAAATAACAATGTATCTTTATGATTAAATGACTACATAGCTGGCATTCATCTAATGAGATTCCAAAAGGGGATAGAGGAGAAAAATAATCAAGAATAAATATGGCAAATATTCAAACACTTGAGAGACCTCAAAAGTGCTATTCACTTTTTGGGCATGAATGACAGAGTTACTGCAAGGTAATGAAATAAGTATTGAATGTTCTGACCGACTTAAGACTGCCAACACCATGGTGCCTTTAGATGCCTGCACCAGTTATCCAGTCTGCATATTTATGACTGAAATAACTCGTTTTTTAGATGAGACAACAAAACATACAGTTCAGTTAATGTGCTGGTTGTTAATAACATGGGCTCTAGCCCAGACTGTCCTGTTTCTGAATCCTAGGCTCAATTACCTGTTATTTGCTGACCGTGGACAAGTTTCTTAACCTCTCTATGCATCAGTTTCCTCATCTGGGATAAGGGCTTATAGTTCCGATTTGACAGGGTTACCATGAAAACTACATGAGACCACACCAGGGATGAGGAGGAAAAGCACAATGACATTCTTTGTCAGTTGATTAGTATCTGTGTCTTGTAAAAAAGGAAGGAAAAAATCCCTGGAAATACACCTATTTAGTGTTTAGTAGATCTAGTCTACCTTCTAAATGTTAAGTTAGTAAAAAATATACCAAAGCCCAGTCACCCCTTTTAACAGTACCTTGAAATGGAAATCTATCCCCTGTTCAAATTCAGGGGAGGAAGGGACTTGCATCTTAAAACTAAAACAAAGAACACTATAACTAAATTTCTCTTATACACTCACCACCCAACTATATTTTTCCTTCAAGATGTACTTTTAATGCAAAAGCATTTCCCAAACAACTTCACAGAAAGCCCAGAAAGGCTTGTCCACCAGCTTGCCTACAAACTACACAGCAAGGTACCCAGCCCACAGGAAGCACACAATTTTATTTCTACTTACTTAAAACACAAAACCAAAAATCCAGCTACATAATGTTTCCTGTGCGGTTTCACTACTTCAGACATGACTCCCTGAACTTCCTAACACCTTATAGGGACAGGTGCTGCTGCTCTCTGAGTGCAATTCTGTGAATTTTTCCTCAAGCAACTAGGGCACCTGCACATGAGGTTCTTTATCAGTGTTCCTGCACTAACATGGGACGCAGCAGGAGACTGCCCACCCTCATGGGAGCCCCAATGTCAAGTCTGGTGGCTACACATGATGAGTGCTGACAGGGATCTTACTCCTTGTAACTCCATCAAGTCACAGCTAGAGGCAGGCAGCAAAGGAAAGAGAGGCACTATAGTTTTGTTCTTTTAATATTTGGTTTCCATAAAAATCTTGTTTATAGAAAGGAGTCTATGTTGAAAAGCTGAAAACCTCATCATTCTAGCCCAATACCTTGATTTCAGACATAAGTAAGCCAGTTCCCAGACACATTAAGGAACCTGCAAAGACCCCACAGCTGAATTCCAGCAGGCTTCCAAACTCTCAGAGCAGCCCCTGGGAGGGCCACCTCTCTAAACAGGCAGCCTCTGCAAAGCTCATGCATCCACCTTACTCACTCCATTTGAAAGACAATAATATCATCATTTGTGAATTTGGAAACTCCTGTTTTCAATCTTTTCTTTTTCTCTCTACCGTCTTCATATTTACATTGAGAATAGGGAAAATATAAGATTGGTAAGTTTTCCTTTCACATCAACTTCTCCCTTTTCCTACATAGTAAAGTGTTCATGGCTTCTAGTCTTCCAGACAAGTATACCTGTTAAAGCACTAAATCAAGTTCCCTGAAATGTGGAACATACAGGACAAGAGATTCTTTCAGTTGGCATGCCTATGAACTTTCTCCCCCCCCCCCCCCCGACCGGTAAGGGGATCGCAACCCTTGGCTAGGGGTGTTGTTTGCACCATGCTCAGCCAGTGAGCGCACCAGCCATCCCTACACAGGATCCGAACCCGCGGCGTCGGCGCTATCAGCACTGCACTCTCATGAGTGAGCTATGGGGCCTCACGGGGCCGGCCCAATGCATATGAACTTTTAAAAATTTTTAATAGGTAGGTACTTATTTCTTTTGCTTTAGGAAATCAAATCCATGAGTTAATAAATAGCATTGTTTAGGATGAGAAACATAAAATTTCCCTGAACAAAATACATTAATAACACGCCCAAGGGTTCAAACCTACGAATGTCTGAAATCCTAAGTGAGTGAACTTTTTAATGATAGATGATTATTTAACAGTATGTAAAAATGGCTAAAATAGAACGTACGTTCACTCTCTCAAAGCCTTTTATTTTAACTCAATTGGCAAAAATCTATTTTGAATGAACTGTTTTTATCTTGCAAATTTTATATTTAATTTGCTTTTTCTCTCCACTGAAGTAAAGTTATTATCATTACCTAATATTTATGACTTATATTTCTTTTTTTACAGTTATCTACTTGCAGCAGAGACGGTTTACCATTTATGGTAATAATACGATAATAAGTACAGACAGATCACATAAATTATCAGATCATTGGATATGGCAAAACCATGAAGGCAATTAGCAAATAAATAAATTTGAGAAACCTTACTAAACCTTAGGGAAACAAGAGCATACTTACCAAACCTTTGCATTTTTACTTTCCAGGTCATTTCCTAAGCTGATTGTTACAAATAGTTGCATTATATATTGTGTATTATTTGAAAGGGAGATATGTTTGGTTCAATCACTAACAATTACTGAAGGGCACTCCTATTCATCCAGGCCTTTCTCCATGGCCATGAGGCCTCTCACCCTCTTCAGCCACTACAGTGTGGTGACTTGGGGGCACAAGTTTTCATTATGAATAGTTTGGAATTAACTGCTAGAATGAGTGCCTCATACAGTGCTAGGGTCAAAGAGGGTCTTCTCTGTGTTGAGTAATCTACGACTAAGATGACTCTTGCTATCAAAATGGTGTGTAGCCATGTTCCCTGTCCATTCCCTTCTCCTTGGCCTGGGTGAGGCCAACAAAATGGATTGTTACAGCAACAGTTTCAGGATGTAGTAGCAGTCACCAGTACATGGTGAATACTTGTGAAATTTTTTATACATAACAAAGTAAAAGTGGATATTATAATTTAAGATAGTGTCTTGGTTTTCTTTTTTGGATTTAATTATGTCACACACAAAAGCGTTCAGGGAAAAAAAGTGGCTTCTGTACTTTGATACTTACAGAATTTAGGATGGAGAATACAGCTGTCACTTGAAATACATGGCCGTATTTATCTTTTAACATGGATGTGCTTTCTCTAAATTACAAGCTTTTCACTCATTTAGAAATGTTACAAAGCAGTAAGAGACATGACAGCATGCTAGGCAGGCCCTCCCAGCATATGACATGGTTTCTGCCCAAAAGGAGTCCCTCATCTAACAGCGCATGAAGACCAGGAGAGGAACCCTGCACATCAGGACCATGCAGAAAAGTGGGAGAGGTTCCCTAAGCTCCTGTTACTCTTACCACAACTGATATTTTCTTTCATCAGGCAAGGTCCCGATAAGCTAAAGGGAAAATATCAGGACCCAAAGGTTTTTAAAGGCTGAAGGGTAGACCTGGCACACTTCAGCCAGGCCAAGAAGAAGGAATGGACAGAAAATAGGACTACTCACCATTACTCACCATGCATCGAGGCTAGGTAAACTAAGAACCCCCTCATTCACAGGGAAGAGGGCCTCACCTAGGTGATCTCTGTACGCTAGGTAGTAGAAGGTCACAATATGCCATCTGAAAACAAGTTTCAGAATTGCTTACTTGTGAGATGTCCTCTTCTTCATCATGTTTGCAGATACTCCAGCATGGCCTATGAGAGAGGTAAGGACACAGTCAATGGAAACTATTTAAAAACTCAGGAAAAACTTAACTTCTGAAAAACTTCTATATAAAATACAAGCAAAAAATAATTCACATTTACATTTACAGACAACATGTAAGAAAGTAATTTATTAACTTTGAAAAAGGACATACAAACGGGATTCTGGGAAGATAAAATGACAGAGGTAACACTTTACTTTGGGAGAAAAAAAAACCAGACAAGGGGCCCTGCGTGGACCCTGCCCTCATTCCTGAAAGCAATGTGTGGACAAGGGTGTACGAAGAAGAACCAAGGAGAGTGCTACAGTTTTGCAAAGTTGAGAGTCAGAGTGGAGTTGGGGAGGGTGGAGTAGCTGGACTCTGTGGAACAGAGTGCAGGCAAGGAGGGAGCTACTCAGAAGTGGGTGGGGGTCCTTAAGTCATTGGCTAAACACAAATCCACATGTAAACAATTCTGAGAAATCACAAAGGGATAAAGTTGTTAAAATCCATCCAGCCATCTCTCAAACACTGGGGCAATCAATAAAACCTGCAAAAAAGGTGACCCTTACTGGGAAGTCTGAGGTAGTCCTACAATAAAGGCTATTATAGACCCATTCTCAACATCTGCTTACCAAAACAAACTTTAGCACTCTTTGAAGGACATCAACAAAATCCCAATGCTCAACAACACAACATTTCAAATGTCCAACACCCCTAAAGAAATTATTAGACATGAAGAAAAGTAGCAGATTGTAACCCTATAACCAAGTGGGTTATAATCAAACGAAAGTATTTAGCAGGCAAGGACATTAAAAGTACTTTGATAAATATGTTCAAATATTTAAAAGAAATACAATACACTTAAAATAGAAAAGTGGAAAATATAAAGAGAACAAATAGAACTAGTAAAAACTACATGATCTGAAATGAAAAAATCACTGGATGTGATTAGTAAAAGAATAAACCCTACAGATAAAAAAAAAAAGGTGAAAACAAAAAATTTTAATATAAAATCAGTGAACTTGACACACTGCAATACAAACTATCCAAAATGGCACAGAAAAAAAAAAACTGGAGGGAAAAAATGAACACAGCCTCAGTGACCTGTGGGACAATATCAATTGGCCCAACATACAGGAAACTGGATTCCAATAAAGTCCAAGAGAAGAGTTGGGGGAAAAATTAATGGCAGAAAGTTTTACATAAGTGATAAAAAGTACACAACCACAGAGCCAGCAAGCTCAACAAAGTCAAAGTAAGATCAAAATCAAAAGAAACCACATCAAAACATTTCCTAAGTCAAATTTCTGAAAACCATTCATAAGGAAAATATTTTAAAAACAACAAAAGAACAAGAGACACATTAATTATAGGGCAACAAAAATAACACTGGATCTGGATTTGTTGTCAGAAACAATGTAAGCCAGAAGACACTGCAAAATAAGCAAATCAACCTACTTATGGACTTAGAATACTATACCCAGCAAAAATATCTTCCAGCCCTGACACACTGATAACAACATTTAATGGAAATAGTCTAACTGTACCAATTTAAAAAGTATAAATAAAGGGAAGAGCCAATTATTATCAGACTAATTAACTTCAGAACAAGCAATATTACTACAGATCAAAAAGGACATTTCAAAATGTTTATAAAAGGGTCAATTAATCAAGAAGCAGTACTAATCTTAAATACATATGAACCTAATTACAGAATACATGAAGCAAAACCAGACAAAATTGAAGACAAAAGACATTTCCACAATTATGCTTATACAACTTTCCTCTCTCAGCAATTGAGATAATGAGTGGGTTGGATGTCAAAAAGGGTATAGAAGACCTGAACATCATGAACAGCCACCTAAATCAAGATGACGTTTATAGAACACGAAGTTCACATGAAAACTTTTACCCAGACACACCATATGATGAGTCATAATACAAGTATCAACACACTTAAAACAATCTGAAGTTGTATGAAGTATATTCTCTTACCACATCAGAATTAAACTAGAAACAAATAACAAAAAGCTACCTGAAAAATTCCCAAGCTTTTGAAAGTTAAACAACACTCTTCTAAAAACCCATGGTTCAAAGAAAAAATTACAATGAAAATTTCAAATACTTTGAACAGAATAAAAATAAAAAAACAATGTATCAAAACCTGTGGGATGCAGCAAAAGCAGTATTTACTACTTTCATCAGGAATGCACACATAAATGATAAAAGCATGAAGGAAAAAAGGGCCTTCTTACCATAAAGTCAGAATAGCAGGATCTGGGTGGAGGAGGAAGCTGACAATGGGAAGGGAGCACAGGGAGGCTACTGGGTTATTGCCAAGTTCTCTTTCCTTGACCTTTTATTAAATTGTGTATTTTTTTTAAAAATACAAATTTCTGTATTAATATTACAAATGCAGTTTTTAAAAGCTAACTAAATAAAGGCAATATATGGCCAACTGACCTAGTGAAAGACTGTCAGTTCTAGTTTAGAGACAAAGATAGTGACACAGGAATTGATTGCCAAGAGAGCAGTCTTCTACCCACTTCACCCAGCATGTTCATTCACATGCACCAAGAGGGGGACAGAGGCAGTAGGACTGCTATCAGGTGAAGAATTAAGTATGTGACAGCTCCAAATAGTGAAGACAAGACTTAGACTGGAAGCAAGGACAAATCTACCAGAAGCATTCCTGGAATACCTCTTCGTTTAGATACAAAGGATGTAAGAAATGGGGGGTTGATGGAGGCAAAAATAAAGGATTCATTCAAGGTCTACTGGAACTGCACCAGGTGTCAACATCCCTTTCTCTCTTCCCATGGCAGCCCACTCCCCAATGCAAACATGCCCCATGCCAGATACATCGAGTGCTGGCTTCTAGGAAAGGGCATCTCAAATGCTAAACAGCGCACCTCAAATGCTAAACAACCAAGCCCCTATCCCTGGGGCAAAACCCTAAAGCAAAACTTCCCAAGCTTCTATACACTATCACCACATGACTCTACAGAGTTGACTTTCCCATTTAGAAGAAACAGAATCTTTTATTTATCAGTCAAGAAACGGTAAGCCGGGCCGGCCCGGTGGCGCACTGCTACAGTGCGCCGCTTGGGAG